ATTAATTCTTTATATCTATGTATTTTTAATAGATTAGCTAAATCTGCAGTACATTTAAATTTAAAATTAATGAGATGGCGTTTAGTCCCAGATTTAGAATTAGATGAAGTCATGTCTACAAAATGTTTAATTTTGGGTTCTGGTACACTTGGCTGTAATGTTGCTAGATGTTTGCTTGTAAGTTAAAATTGTCTTACTTACTATTGTAATTAAATATTTTACAGCATTAAAGAATTTTTAACTTTACATAGGGTTGGGGTATTAGAACAATAACGATGGTTGACAATTCACAAGTATCTTATTCCAATCCAGTTCGTCAATCTCTCTTTACTTTTCAAGATTGTCTTCATGGTGGTAGGAGAAAAGCTGAAGCTGCTGCCGAAGCTTTATTATCCATTTTTCCAGGAGTGGTATATCAATTTTATTATCTTATTATATTTAGTATAACTGGTAGAAATTCTAAAAATTTATATATCAATTTTTTCTTTAGAATTCTGAAGGAATTAATCTAACAATACCAATGCCTGGTCATCCTATTCCTGAAAAATGTAATATGAAATACTATTATATTTTTTATTCATTTTTAAAACATAAAAATTTAATTTAATATTAATAAATTCAAAAAATAATTGAATGTATTTTGAATTATATTGGGTTGTTCGGAAAGTAAGTTCGTTTTTTTCCGTGGAAAAAAAAAAACAATATTTTTATAATAAATAAATATTTTATTGAATTATATATCAACCATTTTGGTCAAATACCTGTTGGCANTTTCAGTTTGGACCATGAGTTACATTACTTCAATTCAAACATTTTCCTCCAACAAAGTTATATAGATAACCAGCACAACTCTATTGATAACAGAAAGAGTATGATGTACAGGGGCAAAACCACTGTTAAAGGAATTGAGAACATTGTGACGAAAAGTTGCAGCCCGCCATTGTGACAATGTCACAATAAATAATCGTTTGTTAGAATTAGTTTGGTTTATTTGGTTATCACAACACGACACGTGAGCGATATGCCGAGGTGGATATATCTCGGGAATACTTTTATGGGAAACTGGACCCTATTTAGGTGTTACTAATGTGAAGAAAACCCAGAAAACTCCACATGGCCAGCCCATTGGCCATGCCTGAATCCACATCTAACTAACTACCGGTGTTCGATTGTTTTATCCACTCAGCTACTGGAAGGCACTTTTACAAGTAACACTTTTGATTCCACGCAAGCAATTGCTATATACTGTCTCAGTAATGATATAGTGTAAGTGGAATATATGACATTATTTAAGTTAGAATAATGTAAACATAACTATTGAGTTTCACAGCAATTGGCCGAACTGCCTAGGAGTGTATTGTGAACAATATTTATATATATAGATTAGGTTTGTTTTGTCTCAGGAAAACCAAAATATAAATTTATATATACAGTTGAATCCCTTTATAGTAATATTTAGCAGAACAAGAAAAAATATTGTTGTAGAAAGAATTATTTTTATAATGAGAGTTTTTAAGAGTGTCTCCCCAGTGGTAAAAAAACGAACTTACTTTCCGAACAACCTAATAACTATAATTATTAGCTGCATTTTTTTAAATACATATTTTTAAAAATTATAGTAATAAAATTATTGGAAATTAACATTAATTTTTATTGTAAAATTGTAGTAATAGATCAGATTAAATTGGATGTAGAGAAGTTAGAAGAACTAATTGAAAATCATGATGTTATATTTCTTTTAATGGATACAAGAGAAAGCAGATGGTTACCAACAGTAATAGCTTCTGCAAAAAAGAAGGTAGTTTAAAAAATATTGTTTTAACCTTATCATTTCAAATATTTCATAATAATGTATTCAAAATATACTGTCAATTTAACATAATCATTAAATCTGAAAATAATTTTTTTTTAATATATGTATTTATATTTCATCTATTTAATGAGATTAAATTTAATTTAATCAATTAATTTTACAGGTAAGCCCAGGCAAAAAATGAGTACAAAGATTAAGATGATTAGATTATTTCTTACTTTTAACCTTTCTTTTATATTATATTATAGTATTTGGTTTATATAACTACAAATGTTATCTTACGTAGGGATTTATCACACCAAGTGACCAATCTAACACATTTTTAAAATTCTTTAAATTGCGTACAGTAGCGGATTAAAGAATTTTTAAAATGTGTTAGATTGGTTGCTTGATCTGATAAACCCTTACTTAAGATAACCTTTGTAGTTATATAAATCAAATACTATAATACAACAAATATTAAAACAAAAATCATATAAAAATTTTGGTTATTTTAGCTTACCATTGTTATGTTTATTGCGATACTCAGATGCTACAAAATGGTACAATTTCATTGGTCAATTAGACAGGAATTGAAAATATGATATATTTAATTTCTTAAGATATCATATTTTTTTCTGTTAACACTAACAAATTTTTCCATTCTCAGCCAAACATCAAATGGTAATCTTCCAACAAATCAAATTTTGCAAAAAAATGGGCCAAATATTTAAACTCTGCACCCTCAAAATCCATTTAAAACATATTTTGTGCTTGTTGTAACCTCGTATTATGTAATTTTCCTATTCAAATGCCCCAATATCGCTGATCCAATAGAAAGATGGGACCATTGTATAAGGGGGTTGAAATAATTCGACCAAAAGTAGTCGTTGATCTCTTCCTGGAAGAGAGGATGCTCAATGACTACTAATTAATACTAGCCTACTATTAATATTTGAAAAGTGATCCATGTTGGATGGGTTGTGATGTAATCAAAGTTACTAACCTTAATGTCCAAAAGACTTCATATAAAACTTGTGTAAATAAGAAGATCTTGTAAAAATGCTAGAATAATTTCTTTTACAGTAGAGCCTCGATTATCCGACCCCCTATCAACCGACCCCTCGGTTAACCGACCGTCCTAGCGGCAAATTTCAAATGTCCGCTATTGATGTGGCGCTACAATATTTGGCTATGTCTTGGCTACTTTAATAATATTTTTACGTGTTTTAGCTGGCAACACTGGATCGACCATGAAAGGGAGCCAGTATTTAAACGAGGCTTAACTTTCTAATTTTTAACAATACAATAGCAACGATTATTATTTTTAAAAATTTTTGTTAGGATTAACATCGATAAAAATTCAACGCAAAGTAGGTTAATAGCGATATACTAATATATTAATTACATGGGATATAATAATATACTACACTAATAATAGATTTTTTCATACTTTTCAGTTATCCGCCCTTTCAATTATCCGACCAACCTCAGTCCCCAATTAGGTCAGATAATCGAGGCTCTACTGTATGTGATAATAAAGTGTTTAAATTTTGGCAACAAATTGTATAAACTACATGGAAAATATATTCTCGTAAATATTGCATTTATAGAAAGTTTATTGGGCTGCAATTTGAAAAAATATATCTATAAATTCCGACTGTCGTCTGCCTGTCTGTCCTTTCTTAATCTTGAGAAAGGAGTTAAATACATGAAAGTTGAGACCAGATATAGAAGGCTTATAGGCAAGAGGCCCAGATTATTAACTATATACGAACTTTCAGTTTGGACCATGAGTTACATTACTTCAATTCAAACATTTTCCTCCAACAAAGTTATATAGATAACCAGCACAACTCTATTGATAACAGAAAGAGTATGATGTACAGGGGCAAAACCACTGTTAAAGGAATTGAGAACATTGTGACGAAAAGTTGCAGCCCGCCATTGTGACAATGTCACAATAAATAATCGTTTGTTAGAATTAGTTTGGTTTATTTGGTTATCACAACACGACACGTGAGCGATATGCCGAGGTGGATATATCTCGGGAATACTTTTATGGGAAACTGGACCCTATTTAGGTGTTACTAATGTGAAGAAAACCCAGAAAACTCCACATGGCCAGCCCATTGGCCATGCCTGAATCCACATCTAACTAACTACCGGTGTTCGATTGTTTTATCCACTCAGCTACTGGAAGGCACTTTTACAAGTAACACTTTTGATTCCACGCAAGCAATTGCTATATACTGTCTCAGTAATGATATAGTGTAAGCGGAATATATGACATTATTTAAGTTAGAATAATGTAAACATAACTATTGAGTTTCACAGCAATTGGCCGAACTGCCTAGGAGTGTATTGTGAACAATATTTATATATATAGATTAGGTTTGTTTTGTCTCAGGAAAACCAAAATATAAATTTATATATACAGTTGAATCCCTTTATAGTAATATTTAGCAGAACAAGAAAAAATATTGTTGTAGAAAGAATTATTTTTATAATGAGAGTTTTTAAGAGTGTCTCCCCTTTCTCACTACAAACATGATTATTTTTACAAAAGTAGTCAATGTTAGAACAGAAAAACAAACAGTACTTAAATGAGTTTAACATAACAAAACAAAGTTTCCCAGAAATTATGTAGGAATATCTTAAATGTTGCAAATTACACTAATTCTAAAAGTAAAAGAGACTGTTACAATTACTATTACCTAGTAAGTTCTCATTCTGGAGAATTCTAGGTTTTCACTGTAACATACAGGTTTCTATAATTTATAATTTCTTGAAAAAACTAGAAATGATAAATTTGAGCCAGAAAAATGTTAAACTGCTGCTCTAGATATAGTTAAAACTGGTTTTCTTCAATGTTAAATGTTATCAACAAATTTTACTCTAAACCTAATGTTTCAGCTAAGCAAAGCTTAGCTGAAACATTAGGTTTAGAGTAATGATAATTAATTTTAAGTGCTAAACAGAAAGTTTAGGTACTAAAATAACCAAAAACATGCTAAATCCGACAACTCTACTCTTCTTGATATTGATATCCTTTGACTGCAATTAACGTTCATGGTAGAATCACTGCATTAAGAGAATACCACATTTTGATTCTAAAACTGAGCAATAAGTTAAAAATTGAATAAAATTTAATTTACTGCAATATTTTCATTGTAGAGAAAGGAAAATACCTTTTGATTTTATGAATACAGTATAAAAAAATGCATAGCTAAAGAGGAGATATTGCCATATTAATTTATTTTAATTTTTAATGAGAAATTACTTTTTAAATTTATTTATTGATGAAATAATTTAATTTCTTACTTAATTTTATATTCTATTAATGTAAGAATAATAAATTTTTTAAAATAATGTTACTGAAAGATTAAGTTTTTGTGTATTACAATGTTGCTATACTATTTTATTGATAATATTCAATTTAAATTTTTTTAGCTAGTAATAAATGCTGCTTTAGGGTTTGACACTTACTTAGTTCTTCGACATGGCATAAAAATAGACAATTGTCCAACATCTGCACCAAAATTAGGAGAAAGTATTCCTGGAAATCAGTTAGGATGTTATTTTTGTAATGATGTTGTAGCACCTGGTGATGTAAGTAAAATATATTAATTTAATAAAAGTATTGATATTTTAAAATAAATTGAAAATAAAATGAATGTCTTTTGTTATGCTAGTCAACTCGAGATCGAACTTTAGATCAGCAGTGTACCGTGACTAGACCAGGAGTATCAATGGTTGCTGCAGCGTTAGCAGTTGAACTTATGATTAATGTAATACAACATCCTCAAAGGTAAAAGGCTATAAAAAAAATGCATAAGAATTTTAGATTTATAAAATATGTTATGGAACTTTAATATCTTAAAATTAATTACAGTAGAGCCTCGATTATCCGACACCTCGGTTAACCGACCGTCCTAGTCGGCAAATTTCAAATGTCTGCTACAATATTTGGCTATGTCTTGGCTACTTTAATATTATTTTTACGTGTTTTAGCTGGCAACACTCATTCGACCATGAAAGGGAGCCAGTATTTAAACGAAGCTTAATTTTCTAATTTTTAACGATACAATAGCAACGATTATTATTTTAAAAAATTTTTGTTAGGCTTAACTTCGATGAAAATTCAACGCGAAGTAGGTTAATAGCGATATACTAATATACTAATTACATGGGATATAATAATATACTACACTAATAATGGATTTTTTCATACTTTTCGGTTATCCGACTTTTCAATTATCCGACCAACCCCAGTCCCCAATTGAGTCGGATAATCGAGGCTCTACTGTATATTAAATTCAATTTTAGATTTAATATAATAAAATTAATAATATCAGTGATTATAGCCAGTTTTGTTAAAAAAAAATAAAGTAAAAGTGCTAATTACTTCTAAAATTGTAGCTATTTGTAATTATTTTTATTGGAAAGGAAAAATTTGTTTCAATATTAAAATATTACTTTACGTAAGAAATTTAACATTACGGAATGAAAAATATACATTTTTTTTACAATTGAAAGTATTTTTATTTATCATCATCAATGGGTATCAGGGGGTATGCCTGTTTTAATAGTCGTGAGGTTGGTATTTCGAATTTTGATGGTATCAATTTTTTTCCATAAAACTATAATTTTCACTTTATTCTTGGTACTTTTAAATTTATTATATTTATTTAAAAATTATTTTTGAATATTCATGTACAAATGGGATTCATACTAACATTTATAATTTATTTCAGAAAAGGGTTAGATATAAACTGAATTATTGTTATTCAAGGCCAATTTTGTTAATAAAAAAAAAACATTTTTATTCACTATTCAATCTATTTGCTTTCCGGGAGCACAATTTTGTGGATGTAATTGTCATAGAAGCGTTTGAAACAATTAACATTTCTGCAATGTGCACATTGAATAAATGCAGATTTTTACAATAAGAAGATTTACATGTTACTGGAAAAACAAACCTGATTAATATTTAAAAACACTTCTCCATCATCATCTAATTTGGAAGGGAATCATGGATACCATATCATATTTGAAAGTATTGGAGCACTTAATGTTTTTTTTTTTTGACTGCCTTCACAACTTGTGAAATTGATCTAGAATCCTTGGTTGCAATTAGATCTTGATTTTGAAGGATGCTTTCACAGTATATAAATTCTGTAGTATTTTCATGCAGTGATTCTTTTGCAGAACACATTTCTATGATATTTATATGATATCAAAGCCATCTTTTCATTCTTTAGTGAATGAAGATGCAATTATAGACACATTTACGTTAAACAATGACTTTGTTGCCAGAGTAACTATGAACTGTACATAAATATACAGAAAATGTTTTCTTTTTAAATAAATACTGTTGGGTAACATTTGTTAATTGCTTTTGACATTGACTTGTTACTTGAAACAGATGTTTTATTGTTTTATTACCCTGTTTATTATTCATTTGTAGTTTTCTAAAACTACATCAGTTTTTCTCCTTAACAGTATAATGAATTTAAAAGTACCAAGTATAAAGTGAAAATTATAGTTTTAAGGGGGGAAAAATTGATACCATCAAGATTCGAAACACCAACCTCACAACTATGAAATCAGTGCACCCCACCGATCCACTGGCCACTCTACAAATGACAGGAATTCTAAAGGTTTTAAGTAATTTGCAATTTTCAATTTCAATTTTCTCATTTAAATTTGAGAGTTGCGCTTTACTGCTTGGCACATGTCAGTTGTTGGGGATGCACTATAACCTCACCTAGTTTGATCAAAATTGGTAACCCCAATGTGACCCATGCCATTCCCTCATAAGATAAAAAGATAGAGAACTATTTTTAAAATGTTGGAGAGCAATGAGAACATTTATGTTTGTTCATAAATATCAGAAAGAAATATTAGTATTATGAACAGTAGTTTTGTTGTTCATTAATTAATCTCTTTCTGGACTAACTTAGGTATTCATTTTAGAAGAAATGCTTATGATTTTAAAAGCCCAAAGAAAACTCTAGCATCTGGTATTTATTAAGACATAAGCCTACACTTTCATCCTTAAAATTGAAATTATAAGACGAAAATAATATTTGAACTCAATAAAATCAAAAGCTTTTATCTTGAATATAGTACAGAACCAAGCAAATATACATACAATTTTGAAATGCACTATAATGGTAATAATTCCAGTTTACCTCTGAATAACATGATTATTTTAAATTATGATGATCTCAATAGAAGATTACACCACAGTTTTTATTTTGAAATGCATCAAGGGGTTTATGCAGTATGAGGTGTTAAAGTTCAATGCTTAGTGCCTCTTAGAAAGTACTGGCATTGGAACGATTGATCAATTTGAGCACCATTTGCTTAAAGTACCACTCTAAAGATGCTTATCATTATTAATTTGCTTTACGTTATTTTAAATTATGGCATTTTCTTTTGTTTTATCATTGATTATATAGAGTGTCCCCATAAAAAATGTACTCATTCTTTATTAGTGAAGAGTCTAGGAGTTTACTAGGCTAGGAGAAAAGACTAATGTTTTCTATAATGCCATTAAATTTTCTTTAATTTAAACTTATTAGACTTGTATTTATGTCAATAAACACATAATTATCAAAAAATAATATATTAGTAATGGTCAATCAAAGAGTGAGTACATTTTTTTGGTACACCCTGTATACTCTATTATAATTATTTAATCAATACAAATAAATATGCTAAAAATTAAAAAAAAAAAACACAAATGTATATGAAAATACATTATTTTATATGAAATAAAAAGTATATTTAAAAATATCAACTTACATTCAAAATTTCCAATTACCTGAAAACAATAAATTAAATTAATTTTGTACACAGAGTTTTCTAGGGATTTTTGATGATAATTTGTATTCTTGGCAATTTAAAATAAACATAAAAGTTTATTTTTCAGGAAATTTTTACTGTACTGAGAATAAAGAATAATAACAAAAGATTTTTAAAATGTATCTTTAAAGCTTTGTTCACACAATAAAATAGTGAATATTATAGAATACTACATTTAAAAAAAATCTGATTACATTTAGGAACATATTTGTTAAATAACAATTTATACTGTACATGAAAAAGATTAAAAAATCAAATATAAATTTGATGCATTAAGTGAAAAATTACAAAATATACATATCATGCAAATATAGGTATGTCTCAAAAATATATGGCATAACCTCGGGAACGAGTTCCTCATATGTAGACAATACAAATAGTTTATATCAACACAGGTTTGGAAATGCTTGGTTTCTGAGTTTTGAAGGTCTTGTCTCTAACACGTTACCTTATACCCCGTTCGCACCAAGCATTTCGATCTAGATTATGGCTAAGGTCGGAGAGAGTTCCATGGTGTGAACGCTCTCGACCGTTTCAATCTCGACTGAAACGAGGTTCAATCGCAATCGACTGGAGAGAGTTCTCGAAACTAGATCCAGTCATAAGAGAGATCCCACAATCCCACACGTGCGAGAAAATACAAGATGGCTGCTGAACACGTGTCGGGCTATCGACAGAGAAATAAAAAAGACATCTGGAGAGACAACAACATCTGTCTATTATTAGATGTATGGCAAGAAAAAGTATTTATTTCTAACCAAAACTTCCATTTTGTTTGTTGGTGTTTGTGACTTACCGCATAGTTACGTCAGTTTTATGATTGCGTGTAATAGCCAGGTTCTTCTCTAGCGGACTGCCTGTGCGAACAGCATGACGTTCGACTAGCGACAGTCACAATCCAGATTGTAGGTAAATCGAGATCGAAATGAGTCGTGGATTGTGTGCGAACGTAGTATTACAAAAGGTCTGTCTTGGTTCTGAGTTATTAGAGAGGTTGCGGCAGAAGTTCAAACATTAAACTTGTACGGCAAGCAAACGTACACGTTTGATGTTTGAACTCCAAGTAAAATACATTGCGGCGCATGTTCACTGACTCATGGGATATTGTTGAAAAATGGCGGAAATGTTTAACAATGATGAATGTTATCAGCAAAGGTAAATAAATAAATTAAACCATTTTAAAGTATTTATAGGACGTTTAATAACACTAAATAATTATTTTTAATTAGCGTTGTGTCTCCTACCATATGATAGGACTATCCCATACTTTTGTTGAGGGAAGTAGTGGCTTATGTAAATCCGAAAGCAGCTCGGGAAATTATTTTTAGAAAATTTACAAACCTATTATATTGTTGATGGTAGAAGATGCTGTGGAAGAAAAAATCTACTTCTACAGAATTATGATAAACTATTATGAAGACAAATATATGTAAATTCTATAGGCACTTCATATCACTTGCAAAAAAATTGAATAATTAAATAATTTCTGGATTAAAGTTGTCTGTTTCTTTACATTATTATTCATAAATGCTTAAATAATCATTATTTTAATAAAATATGTCATAATTTTAACCCCAAACACAAAAAAAAATGAAGAAGTTTAAACTGATCTACTTGCCATGCTAGACGTAGCGAACGCCATTATCAATCTTCTAGAATCTTTCAGATGGTGGTGCTCGAACGTCCAACGTTTTGGGCTGAAAATAACGGCCGCAACCTCTCTATTAACAGGAATTTCTTCGTCTTCATCCTAAGGTACTAACAGAATCTGGTGGTTTTGTCAGTACAGCTCCTTTTCAATTCATTGTATTCATTTCAAACATTTCGAAAGAGTTAATTTTGATCTGTTTAAATCTTTGGCAATATCTTCTATTGATTTAATCAGTCACTTTTGTTCAGAAATCTTAATTTTTTCTTCCTTTGTTAGCTGCTTAGATTTGTCCATAGTGAAGTAAGAATCACGATGGTAATTTTCTGGCGAACTCTTGCTAAACAAAATACATAAAGTAATCTGTACATTATTGCATTTCTAAATTTATGAAACAAGTGTGGTTCATCTAATGAATATTTTTGTGATTAAAATAAATGTTTTGAATTAAAACTTTTGATGCATTTTGTACTACAGTATATTTATTTGTTTAATTAAAGAAAATAAAATGGAAAGTTACATTTCTGTATATATAAATATTTCACTAGTAAATATCAATATCATACTTTTAATGACAAAGTTTCTAAACTTTGAAAAGGGATTGTATCTTGTGATGAAGGAATTCCTGTTAATAACTTAAAATCAAGACAGAACTTTTATAAAGTGATGTGAAGTTGTCTGTCATAGATAAACCTTCAAAACTTGGAAACGAGCATTTTCAGACCTGCGTTGATAAACCATTTTTATTGTCTACGTATGAGGAACTCATTCCTGAAGTTATGCTGTATATGAACAAGATCATGAATTTTTATATCTGAAATAAAAAATGTGAAATGTCTGTCAAAGTAATCAAGATACGTACGTTGTTCGTGATGTTTAGTATACGCCATGATAAATGTGTTTCAGTTGAAACAATATCAAAAGAGATTTGCATTTCCATTGTGAGTGTTAGCTCGATCATACAGGATTTAGGCTATCACAGGTGCTCACATAGATCCTAAGGGTTTTAACAATTAGCAGAAATTACAAAGAATGTCATTATTTTTGATGCATTTGGATTGCTAAAAGAGAGAAAGAAGGTAATTATTTCCTGTTCTGGATTGTTGCAGGAGATGATTATTATTGGCAAGGTTACGGTGATAGTGTTGTTTGTTTTTACTACAAAGGACTTTTCTGTTAAACTTCTAACCACTTTACATGATCAACACCAATCACTATTGTGTAACACTGGATCAGTTGCATGCTATAATCAAGAATTAGTCTCCCAATAAATACATATCTGGAGTCATATTGCCATGACAACAACTGACTACTTGTTGCTAGAATCATCACAGATAAACTGGAGCAGTTCAGATGGGAATACTCCTACCCAACATATATAGCTTGAAACTTTTGGATTTTTGGACCAATGAAGAAAGCGTCGAATGGTCATAAGTCTCAATTGGATGAAGAAGTCGCACGTGTTATTCGAGAACAGTTCTGGAGCTAACCAAAAGAACTCTTCCAGGAAGGAATACTTTGTTTAGTGATTCTGGGATAAATGCCTTAACAGCTATTGAGACATCTTTTAGAAACATCTTGAAGTCTCCATTACATTTAATTTAATAAAATATGACTTAGCAGATTTAGTGTCGTCGTCCTAATTTTGATAAATTTAAGAATTAAATGTTAAAAAAACTATTATCCTTATTATTTAAACAGGATGATTACCTTGTTAATTATCCATTACATTGAATTTTAATATTGCTAAATAAAAATATTTTAGTGATTTTATAAATTCTATACGTTTAACACAAACAATAGAATCAAAACGACAAAATTATTTAATAGGAAAAAATTTCTTTCTTTTTTTTTCTGTATTAGACCATAAAATTTTTTTATTTTTTAATATAATTTAAGAATTTTTTGAAAAATATAATATGTTTACTAGTATTTTTTTATATTATACTTTGAATTTGTCTTGAAATTAGATATTTGTTTATTTTCCAAAAAAGAAAGGCGAGAGATTACTTCCGTCTTGTTCTTAAGAGAGTTATCTGTAAACTAATGTAATAAACTGATGTGCGGTGCATAATTTTTCATTTTCATTTTTGTTTTTTCAAACTGTAAAATTGTAAATAGCATGATGGCAGATTCTTTCTTAGTGCTAAAAAAAAAAATTTTTTTTTAAAAAGCCAAGAATTTTCATTTCTTTATTCCATTATACTCTACAAAATTAAATTTGTTGTAATAAACAGTAGAGAATATAATGAATAATCTTATTTAAAAGTAAAGAAACTATGTTCTGTTATGTACATTCAGAACAACTGTGATATTTTGAATGTAAATAAGGCATGTATAGATTTTCATCTCCGAAATACATGCACGAAATATCGTTGGATTTTTTGTTCAAGACGCATTTCATTTAGAATTTTAAAATTTTATTCTAGAAGTCAAAAACTGAGAATACTTAACGTAAGACAAATTACTACTCAAACAATAGAGAATGTATCCTCCAAACTAGACAAAGATTATTATTAATTTGTGCACGATCAAATATTGTTTATTAAATTTTGAATTTTTGATATAAATTAAAAGTTTAATCACTTTGTAGAAAAGTTAATTGTCATCGAATTTTTACCTTGATATTTTATTTTCTCTGTTCATTAGTTATTTTATATTCTTATAGTGAGAACAACATACGTACTTTTAGCTAAACTGCATTATCATAATTTATACCACATAATTTAAAATATGCAGTATTTATTTTAACTATTGTAAAGAATCAAAAACATACTTATCATTGATAAAGATGTATTTTTCTAAATAAGATAATGCATATTTGAGAAAAACTAGACAATTTATCAAAATAATCAAATACAGAGAATATAAAATAAAATCGTAATTATAAAAGTGCTAGCGATATTTACGAGAAATCCATATTAAGTTATTTTGTTTCCGTAGAGGTCTGGCCCCCGCAGACACGAGTGCCCGAGACGATCACCTGAAGGTAGAAATCGCTTCTCCGTTGGGAATCGTGCCTCATCAGATAAGGGGCTTTCTAGCACGCTGTCATCAAATTTTACCCGCCAGCGTAGCTTTCAATTATTGCACTGCCTGCTCTTCCCAGGTGAAATTAAATATTTTATTTATAACTACTACTAGTACTAAGCAAAATAAAATATTAACATCCAATTTTAACTAGATAATCAACAAGTATCAAACTGAAGGATTCCAGTTTTTACTCCAAGCATTTAACAATCCCAACTATATAGAGGAATTGACGGGACTGAAACAACTACAACAGGAAACCGAAGAAGTCGAGGTATTTATGGGGCGCGTCTTAAGTCCGTAAAGATTTTACGTTAATTCCGTACGAATATTTTAGATTTGGGAGCTCAGCGACGACGAAAGTTTAGGGGGGACTAGCGGATCCGAGAAAGGCGAACCCCACTGACCGGACAAGTAGCCGACGCGTATAGATCAAAAGTACTGTGATATTAGTTTGTATTCCGAAGTACAGTATGTATATTATCTATACAGTTTTTCTCGATACGTACGACAAACTTCTCACTTTCGGTGACGTTCTTCATCCTCCAATGAAAGCAAATTGCTTTTGATAATTTTAAGAATTTTTTTTTTTTTTTAAGAAATTGAGGGAAAAAATTCTTGTAAAATAATGTACAATCAATGTAAATTGTTTGTTCTAGTAAAACATAAAGCAGTTTGTAAATGTTTACAATATTTCTTTTGTAATTTATTGACAAAATACAGAGATATATTAATTGTAAAAATTTTAAAAATAAAACTAAAATTTAGATTGCGTACGTCTTAAGTAAAAAAAAAAAAGAAAAATCACGCAAACTGTATGATAAAAAAATTGATTTTTATTCATTTAATTACAATTTATATACGATAACTTATATAATTTTTTTTTAACATTTTAAAGAAATATTAATTACGATATATAAAACATAAATAGGAAAATATTTTTTCAAAGAAATGTTGTACAACAATAATAATAATAAACATGACAATTTTTTTTTTAACTAACCAAAAAAAAAAATTTATATCGATGCAACATTAAAGCGGAGAATTTTATAACATCAAAAACATGCTATTTACATATTCGAAGCAAAGATTGAAGAAAGAGAAGATTTTAAAGAGCTGGAAAAATTTTTTTTTCTTTTTTGTACAACTTTTTATTGCTTGTTACACTTTTAAAAATAATAAATATTCCATCACTTGAATTGTCTAGAAATATCTTAAGCATTTTTAAAATTACATATTATTATTTTTTTTTGGTTTTTTGTTTTTTTTAAATCTATTATCTATTGAAATATAAAACTGCAAAATTTACAAGAGCAAAGAAAGTTTGTAATCTGAACTCGTGCAAAGTGCTTCAAAACAAGTGATCAAACCTATATATAGACTACACAAGACATCCTTCAATTGTTTCCAAATTTTATGTACCAGACTAAAGAATGTCTACTGTATACAATTGCATCATTTTTTTAGATTTAAAATGCAACCAATACCGTCATATTTTGTATTTTAAATTTACGTAATAACGTAAAAAAAAAAAAATTAAAATACGTTAAATTCTCTTTCTTCAATACAAACAGAATAATTTTTTTTTTTAAATCGTTTCCGTGTAAACTTAAAAATAATCACAAAGAAGCGTTTTTTTTTTTTTTTTACATTTTGAAACTTTTACATCCATAATAGTTTGCACAAGACGTCCGTCGATACTACTGCACTACTATAGTAATATGTATATCCTACAATTACATAAAACGATAATAGAACCAACAAACAATTATTACACCCTGTGCTGTTATTTGGCTATAAAATTTACACGTAAGAGAATAACATTGATTTGATGTTATTATTAAGCGTGAGCAAAATAAAGTTTGTACTCTTTTTTTTTTCTCTCTCTCCTCGTTTGCAGACGGCAGAAAAACGAACAAAATAAAAAAAAATGCAGTACGTTACGGATCGAATATGCGAGGGGGTCGACGTTTGGATCGCGTCTGCTTCTAAAACTGTCGGAGTCGGGGACGACAGAGAAGGGAGCTTAATCTACACATTTATTGATATTCTCGTTTTGCACGATGACAGACAGAAGACATACATTTTTAAATGTTACTTTCTCTTCTGTTTGCAACATGAAAATTGCAACGATGGAGTCTTGATATCACAGCGAAACTACGCCCTGCGAATGAGACCTTACGGGAGAAGACGGCGGAGAGCGAGACGCTTTCTTATTTTTGGAATCCGTTCCGTTCTCGACCGAAGACGTCTTCGTCTGCTGGAGTCTCAACCACGTATCTCCCAGGGCTTTAGCGAAGTGATCGTCCACTGTTACGGATAAAAGAAATACGTTACGGGTTAACGGTACCTCCATAAAACCGAGTTCAACCATAACAATATCAGGAAGAAGGAAAGTTGATAAATGAAAATAATAAATAGTTTTAAGATTTCTCTTTAAAAACATTTGGCAATAAGGAAACTTTTGTTTTTCTTTTAACCTACTTAAACAATTTACGACAATAAGTTAATTTAAAATTCACCTGTTATCGATACGCTTGTAGAATGAGTGGAGAAAAGAAATTCCGGATAATCTTTCCCCAGAGAACGCCTGAAATGTTCGTCGATAACGGGATCACACATTCCTGAAAAATAGAAATAACTTTGTCGAGTATTTATTAAATATCAGCACGAAAATGTTTCCACGAGTAGATAATTATTAAAAGTAAATTTTCAACCTCCCTAATTTTGTGACTGGCTCGGACACATGCAATTATCTGCCATTAAGTGGAAGTTATCGTTAAATTTGTAATCGACAGCAAGGTCAAGAACCTCTATTAAAAACTCGAGCTAATTAATATTTGTCTTGACATTCTCTCCCGAACACGTATTCTTTATAATTATAACCTACGTAAGTTATAAACAATTCTTCAAAATTACGTTAATATATAATTTCCGTGAGCTTAATTACACGTGTTTTTGTTTTTAAAATGCCTGTCGTATGAATTTCTGTCTACATTTTCTAAATAAAATTTAACTAATTAACTAATTTACCAGATAACACTTCTCTCCTGTGACCGGGCCGGATGTCCTCGCCTCCGTCCGATTCGTTCTTCTCGTTTGTCTTCCCCTCGGAATTGCCGTTACAGTGAGCACTCTGACAATTAGATTTTGTGTGACACTGAGATCTCAACAATGCCGAAGCGCACGTGATGACCGACGGCCTCTGCTGCTGAATGGGATGACTGTTCCCGGAAATGGGTTCGTCGTCTTGCCGTGCACACTTTTTGCTCATGTCCAAAGGTTC